TGATCAAATCTTGATATGTTTCTCACAACTTTTTTACTTCACTTTCATAATTTCCTTTAGGTTTTCTGGGTCTTGAGATATAAGGATTTTTTACTTTTATACATATTGTACTACATATGGGATTAATATGAGTTTATCTGATACTGAGCATGGTTTGTTAGAAATCCAGCATTAAATTTGGTTTTGGCTCACATCGTGATCTCAGGGTTGTGAGACCCAGCCCTGCAGGAGATTCCATGCTGGGTGGGGAGTCTGCTGGAAATTCTCTCAATCCCTTGTCCTCTGCCCCTCTTTCCACTTGAATGTACACTTGAACTCTCTTTCTCTCTCTCTCAAATAAATAAATCTTAAAAAAAAAAAATTCAGGATTGAGGCTTAAGTTTTGTACTTTGGTTTTTATTTTCTAAAATCTCTGAGAACATAGTATCTTTTTCTTATTGTTTAAACTGGAAAAGATAGATAAAAATGTGGTTTCCATCTGAACTAAGTAGTGAAGAATCTTTTATTAGAATTTTGATTATTGGAATTATTTTGGGAAAAAATTGTTTTTAGTTATCACTTAGCTGAATTTTTTATTGCAAAGTCAAAATAAAATTAGGATAAAGCATATTTTCCTTTTCTATATTTTCTCATGAAAAAAATGATTAAAAATAGTAATGGTAGAAGCCATTCCTTTGTATCAGGATGCTTGCAATTTATTAGAGGAGTAGTCTGACTATGTATATGCAGAGATTTAAAAGTGAGTATCTCCCATTTTTAAGAAAGGATCTCTGGGTTTCATAATAATAATGATGTTAAATCTAAATATTTCAGTAAAGATTGTGCAGACAGCAGTACTGAATATGTATATCATGGAAGAATACTGCCACCTTGTGTATACATGGTGCTATGTTAAATCTCTTTTCTTTTGTTAATGCCAGCTAGTAATACTAAGTGCTTCTTCACCATTTGGTACTATGGTTAGTTAAGTAAATGTGTAAAACATTTTTTTTTTTTTCATTTTTCATGTAGTAAAATCAACCCAACTTTTCTTTTTTCTTGGCAGGAGGAGGGATCTTATATTTTTAAGACATTAAATTTGGTGTAGTTAGCTCTGAGAATTGGAAAGTCTGAGGGATCAGTTTGGTTAATTGATCTCTGGGGTTGGTGGAAAATTGAATACTTTTATTTGAATCTTATGGAATGTTGATGATTCTTTGATCATTCTTCATTTTAGCGCTTGCCGTGCTTTGGGATCATTATTCTGAATGCCAGAATTCATTATACTATAGATAAAGGAAGTAAGGGCATTTGGCTTACTGACACAACCATAGTCCTTGATTTTTAAATGTCAAGTGCAGAAGAATGACTATAATAATAACTTGGAATAGTGCTTTGAGAAATATTGATGTGATGAGAGAAGAGTTCCTTTAAATCATTTTGGTTACTTGAGGGCATGACTTAGTGGGTTTTGGATATCACAAGACTGAGGGTTCACTTTTCTGATGCTCACAACTAGCTTAGCTGTGTGTGTAATCATGAGTGCTTCTCTGGGCATAAGTTTCTTCATCTGAAAACTGAGCAGTTGAACTGGGTGATTTCTGAGGATATTTTTAGCTTTAGAATTCTATGGCTGTTAAGTTTTACTATTAACTTTTAAAATGTTAATGCTATAATGCTCTTCAGGTTACTTCAGGTTACTCATTATTTTCTTCTGTATAAGAAATTGTTTTGAAAGTTTAATGTATAATCAATCACATAGCTGTGTTTAACTGTCATGAAATATATTAGTAATTTGAGGGGATACTTGTATACAAAAGTTTAATATCAGAAACCTAGGAAATTTGCCTACTTTTTTTATATAATATGTGGGGTACTTGAAGATACCAGAAGATTGATTTTAGGGTAACCTAGATTTTAAATATATACTATTTTCAACAACGTAACACTGTTGGGGTTGCACAAACGGATTACAAATGCCTACATTTCAACTTCTGGGAAGGCTCCAAAAGTAGGTTTGAATATGGTAATGATATATAAATGGTAATGGTATAAGTATCATAGGCAGAATTTTCTAGTTGAGATGAAAAGAGAGAAAAAAATACCTTTAGCTTATAGCTGAAAACTTGGGAATTCTTTAGGCTGTTACCCAACTGAAAATTTAAGACTAGTGATTCTGCAGAATGTAAATCTCTTTATTTTTGTGTGCACGGCAGCAGATATTTCCTGCTTCCCTTGATTCATTTTTCTTGTGCAGTGCTAAGAGTGAACACATGTAATCAGGTTTTTACTTTTTACTTTGAGGCCATATGGGAATAATTTTTTAAAATTCTAAACATAATTTTAAGGAAAATGATTTTCATTGTTAAGCTATGTAAACATGCCAAATTCAACATCTGTACTGAAATAATTTCCCAGTGCCAACTGATTATAATACCAAAGCAAAATGACTATGTTGGTATTTTTGAATTTATTTTGTGTAACACTAAACTTTTATAGAGTACAGACTAAATGACAAATGTTTAAATTCACTAATAAATTGCATTTCATAAATAAACAATTTATGCCATATTATAAAACATTAAGTAAAAATGTTAATTAAAATGTACATATCATCCTCCTGTAAGTTATTCTGGAAATACAAAGTATTAAGTAAATCATACTTCATGAAAGTGAAAAGAATATAATTATGAAAAAAGTGAAACAGGTAATAACTTCAGTTGGTTTTTAGAAAATGTAATCTTAAGAAAATGGGAAGTCAGTGGTGACATTAGCCATGAGGTTTTTCCAAAAGCTCTCTTCCAGAACCTCACTCTATAATGAGGTAGGAATGTGAAATCAGAAGAAAACGTTGGGTGATAGTTCATTAACAAGCTCATCTACAAATCCAATCTCTGGATTGATATTCTTGAGATATTTTGAATAGTTTGTTTTTGTTTAGGGGCTGGTGTTTTTATTGATAGCAAACTATAGTTTTTATTTTTATTTTTTTTATTTTTAATTTTTAAAGATTTTATTTATTTATTTGACACACAGAGAAAGATCACAAGTTGGCAGAGAGGCAGGCAGAGAGAGAGGGGGAAGCAGGCTCCCCGCTGAGCAGAGAGCCCGATGAGGAACTTGATCCCAGGACCCTGAGATCATGACCTGAGTGGAAGGCAGAGGCTTAACCCACTCAGCCACCCAGGTCCCCCAAACTGTAGTTTTAAAGAGAGCATGCCTAGTTTTCTTTTTCTTAATTTTATGTATACGTAGAGACTAGTTAATGACGGTACTTGGTTCAGTTGTGCTATGTTAATATTCTCCTTGGGTGTTTGAAAAGTCTTTGATTTGGATGAAGAATTATGATTGTAATAAAACATTTGCTTGTCAGTTAACATATTTTTCTTCCTTGGGAATTATGGAGAATTAGAATGCTTTCTAATGAGTACATCTTTGTTTATTTTGACATTTTTAAAGATTGAGATGTAATTGATATGTAACTAATTTCAGGTGTACAACATAATGATTCAAAATTTGTATATATTGTGAAAAGATCACCACAGTAAGTTAACATCCATCACCACACATATTTACAGATTTTTTCTTGTGATATATTTTGAAATTTTAATGCAGCAAATAACTTTTTGTATGGAGAAGAGTTTTCTTTAAGTATTTTTGTCATAGACTGCATAATTGAATTTGCAATAAGATTTGTTTGCCCAGATATACTAGGATACCATGCTAAAACATGTAATAAATGCTGATAGAATACTTCTGTGTTTGCTTATTGTGTTCTGCACAGGCTTAGACCTATCATTTCTTATGCAATGTTAAAAATTGAATGAGTCTAGGGGCACCTGGGTGGCTCAGTTGGTTAAATGACTGCTTTCGGCTCAGGTCATGATCCTCAATCCTGGGATTGAGTCCTGCATTGGCTCCGTGGTAAGCCCGGAGTCTGCTTCTCCCTCTGACTCTCCCCCTTCTCATTCTCTCTCTCTCTCATTCTCTCTCTCTCAAATAAATAAATAAAATCTCCTTAAAAAATTTAATGAGTCTTTTTAAATTTTCTTTTAAATTTTATTTATTTCTCAGAGAGAGAGCACAAGCAGGGCCTGCTGAGCAAGCAGCCTGATATGGGACTCAGTCCCAGGATCCTGTGATGATGACCTGAGCTAAAGGCAGATGCTTAACCTACTGAGCCACCTAGGCACCCCATTGAGTCCTTGATTTTGAAGAAAATGATTTTTTAAAAAATTTATTTGACAGAGAGACACAGCGAGAGAGGGAACACAAGCAGGGGTAGTGGGAGAATGAAAAGCAGGTTTCCCTCAGAGCAGGGAGCCCGACGTAGGGCTCTATCCCAGAACCCTGGGATCATGACCTGAGTTGAAGGCAGACGCTTAAGGACTGAGCTACCCATGTGCCCCGAAAATGATATTTAAGACAATGAAATACTAGCATTTTGGAAATTCAAAGTACCATATTGTTTTGGAATAATAATAACTGGTGTAGTCATTAACTGTTATGCTGATATGTAGATCAAGATAGAAATTGGTAGTGACATGGAAGTTGGAGGATTCAGAATGTTTGTAAACCCAGCTTTCAGATTTTTTAATCTATTTTATTAAGTCTCTGATACTAAGAGTGTCATTACTAGTGAACTGACTCTCTAAATTGGTCTTCTTCATCATAGCAGATAAATTATTGTGATTTTTCTATATATTTATAGAATAAATATATATATTTCTATATATATATGCATCTATATGATGCATACTCTATATTTTTCTCTTATTCCTTTTTTTTTTCCTTTGAATGCATTAAATTTAGTTGTTGCCCTTTGGGAAACAGATGCTGCTCATCAGAATGATTCTGTATTTAAAAATATTAACACATAGACATTTTGATATACTATTTAAATCAATGTAATATTAGTGGAATAAGGTCTTTTAAATGATTGTGAAAGTTAATATCAATGATATATTGTTCAGTTATGAGATGTTTAGCATAGGTCTAACATATTTTTTTATTATTACTAGGCAAGAAGTTATGAAATGGAATGGATGGGGATATAATGATTCCAAGTTCTTCTTCAATAAGAAAGGCCAAGTTGAGTTAACTGGGAAAAGGTAACTGGTTGCTTTATTCTTTTGTTCTTTTTTCCCCCTCTTTCTTTCTATAAAAAACTTTAAACATAAATAGCAAACATAATTATGTTAAATAGACATACGTAAAAATAGAGAGGGTAATATAATGACTCCTCCCTCCATTTAAAGTTATCAACATTTTGACATAATTGCTCCTTCTTTTGTCTGAGGTGTTTTAAATTCTGGCATTGTCATGTCACTTCTAAATATTTACATATGTCTCCTTTAAAAATATAAGGACCTAATATCAGCTAATCATAATAATTTCATTATCATACTCCTCAAAATAAGAGAAATTTTTTATCTGATTATCCAGTCTACATTTCTCCTGATACTAAAATATGAGATTTTATAGGTAGTTTGAATCAGGATCTAAAAACGCCTGTAGTCGTCCTCCCACCCAATCTCATGCCATTGACTTGTTCAAAGTAACTCCATTTTTAGGACTGGGAATTTATTTTTGGGTATGTGTTATTATGGAAGGTAAACAATTTTAGGTCTTTGTGAATATAAATAGTATTTTAATTTTTAATTTTTTAAAAGATTTTATTCATTTATTTGACAGAGAGATAGAGCCAGAGAGCACAAGCCAGTGGGGTGGGGGGTTTGGGGGGTGGCAGAGGGAGAGGGAGAAGCAGGTTCTCCGCTTAGCAGGGAGCCCGCTGGGCTTGATCCCAGGCCCCTGGGATCATGACCTGAGCCTAAAGCAGACCCTTAACTGGTTGAGCCATCCAGGTGCCCCATAAATAGTATTTTTAAAATTAGCTTTCTGAGATACATTAGGGAAGAAATAATGAAGAAAGAGCAATCATTTGTGTGGTAACTTTGACATTTCTGAAATATTTTTGGTAATGTGTGGATAAGAATTCTGAAGAATATTTGTATTGTTATTCTTCCAGATACAGACAGAATTGTAAAATAAGTTCTTAGTTGATTTTAAGAACTGACCCTGCCAAAATTGGTGTTTTGGGTGGCTTGTCTATTGAATTTTGATACTAACTTTTGAAAGGACAGTGAGTACAAATGTGTAAGATTTGAATGCTAGCTCTATAAATTAAAAATTGAGAGTAGATAGAAACTTGGATCAGATATATTTCAAATCTGTTCCATTATTGTGCTTTGACTTAATATCTATTGGGCATTAATATGGGTAGGTTAATATTTTTGGTATGTTGATATATTGAAATATCAGCAGAAAAACTTTTATTCCTTTGGAGAAATTATCTTTCTTATGCAACATAATCATTTCTGTTTTCTGACTTCAACATACTTTGTACCTGAAACAAAACCTCAGGAGTAGTAGTAATTAGGGACTAATTTTAATCAAGGTATGAAATGTACATTTGACATTTGCTTTTTAATAAGAGAAATGAATATCTGTATTCTCATTCCCGTCTTTAAGTGTGACTGGGCAGCATGTTGGTGGAGGCTTAGTTGAGAAATTGTATAAATCAGGTAGAAGGAATTTCTGGTTAAAATTAAATTTACCAGTGTTCTAAATGTTGAGTGTTTTGTGTTTTAAATGGAATAGTGTCTAATATGGTCGAAACTTATCTATGTGGAAACTGGCTTTGCAAAATCTCCTGGGGAGAAGAGTAAATCTTCTGAACTTAGAAAATCAACTTCCTTTCCTCTCAGACACTGTCTTCATTTCTTTCTCTCTTTGGACCTAGAAAATATGGCATCTTTATTTTATGAGAGGGGACAAATTGTCACTTGTGCATGGTGCCACTGAAAGCATTAGACACCTTCTGACTTGTCTGGAGCACTGTAGGCTAGTTAGTGGTTTGTGTTGGAAGTCTGTGTGTGCGAAATGAATGATCAGTCACAGAAAATATCACAAGTAGTTGTATTTTACTAGTTCCATGGATTCAGAAGCTCGTTCTTATTGCAGGTGTTCTGGCGCTTGATTTGTCAGTTTTCACAGAGCGGATCAGGTTGTAGAGGTCTGACACATGTGCCACACTCATGATATAGTCAGGAAAAACATTAGAACCCCAGTGTATTCATTAATGTTTAGATTATTCCGTTTTCCATGTACCGAGGCCTTCATGATATTAAGATATATAGAAAATAAAATGTAAAATTTATTATTTGGAGAGCATAGGTTCAGAGTAAAGGGGATTCAGTGGCCTTAAGAGAGCTTTTTATCCAGGTTCTAATAGAACCAGAGAATGTATTTGTTTGACTTCTGACTTTGGAAGTTTGCTGCTCCTGCCATTCTAACCAGAATTAGTTCCTTAAAGCCTTCATTTCTTTGCATTATCTCCTGAATCAGGTCCAGTGGGGAAAAAAAGGAAAGAGAATGGGGTGCATCTGACTGGCAGAGCCTACAAGGGAAACCCGTAATGCAGATTTTGGGCACGTTTGCTTTAGTGGAAGGTAGCCTTGGCTTCTCACTAAGCCTCACCTAGAAGGCAATTCTCCAAATACAGAAATGGGATTTAAATGCTGTAGGATTAAATATATACTACATAAACTATTTAATAACTAAAACCAATAATTAAATAATATTCACTTCCCATTTTAGTGCTTCCAGAAGTACCATTACTTTGTCATAGACAGGATAATAAACCGGACTGAACTGGATCATAGCTTTCTGTAAATTTAGTCTAGCCTCCTAGGGATTTCTCTGGTTTTTATCAGAAAACATTTAAACACTCTTTAAGGTAATAATAGCTATTATTTAATTGAGTGCCTGCTGAATTATCTTAAAATAACTTTAAGATGGGTAGTGGTATTTTCTTAAAAAGAATTGAGATTGAGGATGAGAGAGGTTAGATAGCTTATTTGAGGTCACTTGCTCAGCAAGAAACTGGGATTAAAACCCAAGTGTTTTTAAGCTTTGTTCTTGTGCTATTTCTGTTGTACTGAGCTTCTGTAGATAACCGTATTCATCTATTGCATTGATCTTGTTTTCTCTCCAAACTCTGAGAGCACTTTATAGTAGCCTTCTATCTGCTATACACTAGCACAGCAGAGTTAGTCATATTGTAAAAAATTACCCTATGAGAGAAATTCCTATTTTTCTAGTGAAGGGCACGTTGCAGACGCAAAAGGAGGTTGTGATATTCTTAAAAGAGAGTATGACTAGAAAGGATGAGTTACAAGAAAACAGTGATTAGGCTGAACAGTATTAATTCACCCTTTTGTATTAATAATAGTAGACTGAGGACAATTTTTGAAATTCTTCATAAAAACTTTTAATTCTGGCATTGTAGAAGACTGGACAAATTGCAGACCATTTGTTCTGTATTACTGTATAGAAAACATGAATAAAATATCCTAAGAAATATATAAAACAGAGCTGGGAAAAAAGGGGAATTCTTAGGTGCTGGCAACCAAGGGTGAGTGTCTGTGAAAATTTATGGGGATTCCCTTATTTCTGATCCAAAGACACTGAACAGTTAAGAAATTTTTATTAAGCAAATGTGTTTGAATGTGTATATTTTGGGGAGGGTAGCGTTAACATTTCAAACCCAGCCATTAAATTAGTATATGATATGCTGTCGAAGCGAGCACTCCAGCCGTTGAATTAAAAGCAGTTATTACAAACTGTTATAGATCTTTGGGAAAAATCAATAGTTTTTTCCTGAACACAGTCTTATCTTCTGAATATATTTACAATTTGTCAGATTATAAATCCTTAGGTTTATTAATTTGCCATTCTTACTTCTTATAGATATAGATGAATTGAGTCCTCCTGGGTTTAAACAGCAGAAGGCAATACATATTGTCAGAGCTAATGCTACATTCTTCTACAAACTAACATTTTTTGGAAGTGTCCTTATTCATTGACTTTAAGGGTATTAAATATTAATTGCTGCTTACAAAGCAAAAGTTAGTGCTTTAAATGGAGAGAATTTGTTTGGGTTTATGTACTTTCTATTTTCAGTGACATAATTTTTCATTAAAGTTTGTCTGATTATAAAAAGATTTTTAAATTGCTTAGCAATTATTAGGGATCTCACTCTGAGAATAGAGGTCATGCCTACTACTATCTTGCTGCCTCTGTGCACAGCCACAGAGTGAGAGTGCTTTGTCTTTAGTCACAGTAAATCCTGATGTTCACCTCCTTCTTGGATATTTATGTTCACAGGATTTTCTTTCCACGAAGTGATTTCTTTGGTCTTGAATGCTCCCTCTGGCTCTATATCTTCTACAATATTGTTAATTCTGTCCTGACAGGAGGTGGAGAGTTGATCTCACCTTGTATTTACAATAGGAACCATTCCTTAAAATTCTCAAACTCATCTTCAGTCATGATTAAAGATCCATTCGGGAGTCACCTGTTTCAATAATTGATATAGGTACCTGGCTTTCCTCTTACCATATTTCTGGCAAAAGTTGCATGTTTCTTGCCCATATATTCATCCTATCAATCAAGTGTCTTTGTAGCTTTGAGTAAACTAAGTTGTAAATTAATTTTTTCCTTCCTTCCTTCCTTCCTCTCCTTTCCTTTCTTTTTTCTTCTCTTTTCTTTTCTCTTCTTTCTTTCTTTCTTTTCTTTTTTCCTGCCTTCCTTGCCTTCCTGCCTGCCTTCCTTCCTTCTTCTTGGTTTAAGTTTCTTAAGAACAAAAGTTGTAATACCAAGTCTTTGTGTCCTGCAATACTCAGTACAGTCTTACAAGTGTTAAATGCTTGTTTATAGTTTTGAATGTAAATCTAAATTATTTTACTGTAATGTAATAAGCAAGTTATTACCTGGCTATTTCTTAAATTAAAAACCTCTTATTCCTTTAACTTTTCTTAAAATGTTTCTTTTCAGTTAATTTACTTCTTTGACTTCAAAGTTTTCATTTTTACTTCATGATATTTTATGAGATTTTTGGAATGCTTGGCAATATGCTAGGCTTTATGATTATTGAGTCAGGCTTCCTTCACTATTTTTCAAATCCCAGGGCATTAGATGCAAGACAAAGTATAGTTGAAAGGTTTATATTCTGACATGACTTTTTGAACCATATGTTTTGTGCAGAATT